ATAAAAATAAATAACATTTTTAAGTTTTTTTGTCGCATTAATGCAAAAATTCAATAAATAAAAAAATCTTTGTACTTTAACTAATTCTATTGTCTCATGGTCACACAACACTCATGACACCCACAAGGATAACTATAGGATAAGGAAAACATAAAAAATGCAAAAAGTGTTTTAATAAGTCTCAACTATACTAAATTATAATAAATATTAAATGTAGTCGCAAGTGGTTTAACACATTTCTAAATGACCTAAAGCATATCTTTTTCCAATTCTACTTACAACATATTTTCTGATACTGATGTATGGTGATAAGCTAAAATCAGCTGTTGATTGTGTTCTAATATAGATAATTATATTATTATTTCATTCATACATGCACCCAGTTGCCAGTTTATTAGGTACACAATAAGTACACAGTCTAATACAGCAACCCTGCAATGAAACCAAACTTAATGAAGTTATAATGCTCAGTTTTTGTTGACACTGCAAAAAGGTGGTGATTGAAGTTTAAGGTCATTGTTTTAGGGTTAGTATTAAGTAGAGGTTGTTGTGTTTAGTCCACTCCATGTTTATCAATGAGAGCACAGACTCATCGCTTTTATTTATTTTATTTAAAGTAAACCACTGAGCTCCTGGATCCTCAGCGAGCTTAGGGAGTAGTTGTGTAACGGCTGTTGAGTTGTAGTGAGTCCGCTGTGGAGGCCTCCTGCCGGGGTCTGCTCCTCTGTTCAACACGTTGGTATGGAGGGGAATCGGCTCCAGCGGGGCTCTGCTCTGAAGCAGCCCGGAGCCCAGCTGGGGTCAGTGGGTTCACAGACTCAGTCCTCCCGGTGTCCTTAAAGACGGGTCGTGTGACCCCGCCCCTCTGACGACCGCCGTGTCGTAGAAACAAACCATATCCGTTTTCACTGGTTTCAACAGCAGTCAATTTATCAACTGTGAACTACCACAAACCGGAAATGTGGTAGTATGCCTTTCATAATAAAAGCTGTCTTCTCTCTTTGGGAGATAACATCTGATGACTTTCTAAATGTATTTTATGTATGTTGTAAAATACAGTTATCAAATAAAATAGGCTACCTATCATCTTTGAACTGTAAACACGATACTGTGTTTTCAGTTTCATATGAAAACTACATGTTTGTTGTGACATCTGTTTGAAACATGTAGTTAGATACTTATAGTTAGATAAGTATGGATAAGATTTTTCAGTTATGGTGAGTTATTTTGGTTTTATATGCTTAAAGGAAACTTTTTGGCCATGAAAATAAAAATGTGTTCATTCCATTTCAATTTTTTAAGTCATACAATTCAATTTCCACAAATCAAGGTTCATCCAATGGTAAGATTACCAAGTATAAACACTGGAAGTATTGATATGTAGGTTTTTTTCAAGAGGAATCAAAATTTCATGCTCAAAATCTGTGTTGTGATGTTTTTGGAATATCCTGTAGCAGTTTATAATTTAAAAACATTTTCTAAAACATTCAAGTCCCACTTAAAACTTGATTTGGCTTCATGCTAAAACTGTTGTATGATTTATTTTTGTTTTGTTTTGTTTGTTTTGTTTTGTTTTGTTTTGTTTTGTTTTGTCTTGTTTTATTTGGTTTAAAAAATGTTCTGTCATTTATTTTATTTTGTTTTGTATTGTTTTGTGGACTGTATAACTTCATCTGTTTCCGTGATTTCATGGAGGGTTGCTGCTCTCGTTTTCTTACTATATGCACTGATTTCAATTGAGCTGATGTGCACTGCATTCATTTTGTATGCACTGATACATGTCATTTTAAAGATTATTTAATCTATCAATGGCAAGGGCCTGGTGTTGGAAATTAGTTTCAGCTATATACTCATGTAAAGTACACTGGACATCGCCTCTGCAACTGTCTGTACTTGTCCCTTACTACTGTGTTTTGAGTTAGTATTATTATTGTTATTATTTTCCTTTTGGAATAATGATAATAATAATACTTTCCTATTCTGTATGTTTTTTGCTCTATGTTTTATTTATGTAATATTTTCTTATCTTACATGCTATTTTATATGTTGTCATGTATGATGTATTCTTGCTTTGAGCGCATTGAGTTTACGCCTGCTGTATGAAATGTGCTATATAAATAAAACTGGTTTGACTTGACTAATAATTAAAAAAAAAAAATCATCTCTATTACAAATTTAATTCCAGAAATATAGTATATATAGTATAATATAGTTTTAATTAAAAGTTAATTCATTTATTAATTTAAAAAATTGATTTTAATGGTAAAATAAATACCCAATTCAAATTTTAATTTGGATATTCACCATAGCAGTGAGCATCAACGCAACTTTTACTTTGAAACCCCCGACCGGAAGCTTGTCGCGCTACTCTCGCAGGAATTGACGCTCGGTCTACGGGATTATTCGTGAACTTCAGTTCCCCCCAATCCGCCGATGAGAGCTGCAACTGTTTTTACAGCTGACACACTTCCCATTTCGATCAGGTCAGTCACTCACAACTCCTTTCTCCATCTTTACGGTCCGCCGAACCCAGAAATATGTAGCTAACCACTGCGTAAACAACAACAACAACAACACTGGTAGTGCAACAACAACATCAACAACAACAACAACAAACAAACAACAAAGAGGACCCGTAGCCAACACATCCAGCCGCGAGGATCCACACCCTCCACATATCTGTGTGTGTGTTTGTGTCTCCGGCCACTGAAAGTGGTTTTAAACCGCGGAGCCGGGGCAGAAAACTGTGCTCCGGTCTTGTTTTGAAAAGCCCTGCGGACGGCACCACGTCCTACGCGGAGGGGGTCCGCTGTTCACGCCGGTCAAAGTTCATTAATAAAGGAATTAGCTTTAGGGGAAAGAGAGAGAGAGAGAGAGAGAGAGAGAGAGATGGCTGCTTTTATTCTCCCACCCTCTCATCTCCAAAACGGTAGGCTTCTTCTGCACCAATGGAGGGGAGGGAGAGACATGAGGAGGAGGTGGTGGTGGTGGAGGAGGAGGAGGCGGCGAGGAGGGGGGTGTTCAACAGTCCTACAACCATCTTTTCTGTCCCGTTTGTCCGCCATATAGAGCAGCTCGGTACTACAGTAAACTAACTTCCTGCATGTGGCTGTAGGTTAACCGGGATTTCTGGGCTGAGCGGCCGCTGCTGTAATGTCCACGCGGGCTCCTCTTCCCCTCTCCGTGGATGGTGCGTAATAATAATATCATCTGGAGAGGCCGAGGCCGACATTTTACCCCGGTCCGGAGGAGCCTTAACTCCGAGGGGACATCCGTGGACGCGCGGATAAGGTAAAAAAAAAAAAAGCCCCATCTCGCCGCTTTCTGCCCCGCGAGCGAATAAACGCGCATTTGCGTCAAGTTTGACGACTGAGAAGTTACTGACAAATATTTAAAACCGCAGGCGGAACAATTTTATGTTGTCTTTTAACGGTCTTCTGTGATAAAAAATGGCTACTTTCACCTGGATTTACAGACAGTAGCATGTACGGCACAGAACTACACTTGACCTGGAATATTTTAAATGCATCATATCCAAAGATTAACTGGAGATATGAGTTTTATGAAGAGGAAACTGTATCCTTAACATTTATATTTTATAAATAGAGTCTAATTATATTTTAAACCCCTTTCCCTACACATTATACATCTATCCTACTTATGTGTCCCATATTCTTACGCATATTTAATCAGTGTTTTTTTTGTCTTTAATAGCCCAGCCTAGTTCTATGGTAATAAACCTTCCTCTCATACCGAGTACAACTTGCCTGGGCCTGTAACATTACCACCACCAATCGGCAGCAGCACCTGCAGGTGGACAAACAGCAGCCAAACTTGTTCGGTGATTTATTCTTCGCCTCAACTTTAATATTTAAGAGAAGAAGTCCGAGGCGGCGGAGACAGAAAACAGGCTTTACACCTGCACGCAGCCGGAGCCGTTAAACGCTGAAGCCGATCCACATGCTCAGAAATCGGCCGTATTAACAATTAATATTGGACATCCGGTGGCAGTGCCAGCTGCGCCCCATTTTTATTGTTGTCTGTGCGCTGAAAGGATCCCTGTTGTCTCGGCTGGATACTCCGCGACGCGTGGTGCCTTTTTTTTGGTAGGAATTTCTGCTTAAATTTAAAAAAAAAAAAAATTAAATTAAATAAAAAATAAAAATGCATGTAATGAAATGTGAATGTGCAGTGTGAAATAAGAGGAGGGGGTCTGGATGTGGAAGTGCGGCTCCTCGGCTCGCCGTGCCATGCGGGACACACACTGCTGGCTGCCACCATGGCACCTTCCTCTCTTCCCTGCCCTGGCTCTGTCTGTGCTGCTGCTGCTGCTGCTGCTGCTGCTGTATCCAGCTGTGCGGACACGCAGCACCGTCATGCCCCATTAGTTCTGTTGCACTGATCGGTTCATCGGCAGATAAGACAGCTTTTCTTTCTTTTTTTTTCGCGGGGAGAGTTGTGGACGCGCACCGGATGGACAGGGAGCGAGACGAGGCGAGGGGCGGCAGACGGGGCCACTTTGGCTCTCCATCGTTAACGGGAAGCGGAGCTCCAAGGACACGGAGAGGAGAGACAGGGGGCGCATCCAGGTCGTTCACGGTGTTTGTGCGTTTGTTTTTTCTTTGCCGTGATTCAAGTTCTTTTATTTAATTAGAGGAGAGAGGGAGATTTCCCAGGCGAGACGGAGCTTTGTCAGCCGCCCAGATTTTTGGAGCTTTAATTTGGCAAATTGGCTTCCCAGACAGACCGACAGCCAGACCGTCTCTCCTCCCATGCTCCCCCGTCTCCTCCTCGCTGTTTTCGGCCATAGTCTCTTCCATCACAGCCTTTTTTTTATGGACTCTTGCCTAATTCACTTTTTCTCTCGTCTCGCTCTCGTGCGTAACCTCCATCCATCCGTTACCAGCTGTCCTCTGTCATACTGCAAGGTTTCTTTTTTCTAAAGAGGCCTCCAGCTGCTGAAGGTTCATTGTCTGGTCAGACTGCTCATGCTCTAAATTTACCTCATGGTTCACTGTCACAATGACTTTGCTTCCACTCTGGCACATGGAGAGGAACGGTGCGTTGTAATCAGATATAGTAATCCTATAATGCTTTTATTTTGAAATTTACTATATAAAAACTACATTTCTGGGGAAAGTAGTGATGCCACATGGGATAGAGACAACATAAGGTTCTTAAACACTACAAACACACCAGAGCACTAAAGATAAAGTATAATAACTCACTTTTTTGAATACTTTTTACCCCTTAATACCCCAGAGTCATATTCCTACCCCCAAAAGCTTTGTAAAACCCTGTTGGGATGTAATAGATGTGAACCAATGAGTTGATTCACTGATTTCTTGCTGGACAGAAAAACAATCTGCAGCCATCATGATTAACGATTAATTATTTAAGTCGTTTTTTAAGCAAGAATGCTTCACATTTCCTCACGCCGGCGGCTCATTTGTGACGGTCTGCTGCTTCTCTTTGTCTTGTGTGATGATAAAATTGAGTTTATTTGTATTTTAGGCCGTTTGGTTGGAAGAAAACAAGCTGTTTAAAAGACATCATCTTGGACTTAAGGAAATTATGAATGGCTATATATTAATATAATTTTTGTGGTGCAGGCACGGCTCAGCATCCTTTGAATACCCTGCTCTGTGTTGCATAACGGTTTGTTGCTAGGATAAGAGGTCATTTTCATTTTGCATCCTCACAGTCTTCGGGGTAACTGCTCCAGAGCATCACTTACACACTAACACCAGAGTTGGTTGTAAGTGTTTTGGCGACACATGGCCGCAAATCACAAACGGTTGTGAGGCTGAGACGACGTTTAAACCTCCTCCGTGGAGCCGCGTGTCTAAGGAACTGCACAAACTGGCTCTGCATGAACCGTAATCTTAGCACACTGTGAGTGTTAGCATACATGTTTGCTCTGTCACTTATGTATTTGGCGTAGTTGTTACATAAGCAGCAGTTGCGTTGGCATCTGCTGTGCCTGCGCAGCCGTGTTCACACAGAACCAGCGGCTCAACGTAAAGCCGATGGTTATTGGTGGTTATTGACCCACAGTGGTTTTGAGATGAGGCAATTTCCTCTTTGTTTCCCCAGTTGCCTGACAGTGAACTCTGCCTGTGAGTGTGTGTGTGTGTGTGTGTGTGTGTGTGTGTTTATGAGCGAGGAGACCTTTGGACCGAGCCTTATGTTGAACCAACACACAATATAAATGATTGCAGGGTTGCTATTTCAGCGCCTGGCTCCTATATCAGCCGGAGTGTGAACAAATATAAATAAGAATCTGTTTGGTGCGTCGGTTTCTCTGTGTAAATTTACCTTGTAGAAACGCAATAAATGCCTGGAAGAGCTTTAAAGGAAACGGTGAAGAGGACGTTGGTGGGATTGTTTACTTCTTGTTTGCAGCGTGACACATAAAATAGTGGCTCCTCCTCTGGCAGAATGAAAGTCACTCTGACTTGTCCTTCATACAAATGTGAGGATCATACGTGTTTTTAAAAATTTAAGAGCAGAAACACTCACAACTGACACCTGAGCAAGTCCGTGCAGCTGGTGCGAGCAAACAGGCTTTAACCCCTGTGTAAACGCACAGTGCTGCCGCTGTAACTTCACGATAACGAAGCCTGTCCTTTGTGCGTTTGTACTTGAGTTTGTTATCTACTTGAAAACGCTGTATGTGCCTGATAAGTGTTTGTATACACAGTATGTTGGTAGCTGGCTTCACTCCGTGTGCCAAATACCAGTTTTCCATGTGGCGTGCCAAGGCAGTGTCATAACCGCTCAGCAAATCCTCATTTCCTCGTTCTTGTGTTGCCGAGGTCAGTCCACAGAGAACGTATTGTGACATTGTTCTCGAATCACTGAACCAGGGTCAGTCTGAGCTGGTGTCTCCTGGTTTTCCACAGGTACTAAAACAGTGGGTCTGCATTGTTCCCGCAGTGTGTGTGTGTGTGTGTGTGTGTGTGTGTGTGTGTGTGTGTGTGTGTGTGTGTGTTCGTGTGTGTTAGTGTTGCTCGCTGTTTCATCATGTCCCCGTCTGAAAGGAGCTCGGTCTGATCAGCAGTTTGCACTGTGGCCTCCTCTCTTCTTCTCTAAAGGCAGAATTAGATTTTTTTTTTTTTTTTTGGATTCACAAACATTAACCGATGCAGAGCTTCTCCGCAGGCAGAAGTTACCTCATTGGCCGGGTTTAACCGTAGTGGGCGGAGTCAAAGAAGCTGTTATTTAGAGGGCAAGTTAGCTAGGTTAAAGGATAAGGCCGGTTATATTCTCTTGTTGCTGTTTTGTCTTTGGTAAAGACCAAAACAAGTGTTGTCAGTGCATGTGAAGCATGATACAGCTCATTCCTCGGTGCCATAGAGCGCCATTGTTGCTCAGAAACAATTAAAACCACATCAGTGAGTCACACTGTTGCACTGGGTGATATGCTCCTTCATTACCATGAACACACACACACACACACACACCATCGTGCTGCTGGAACTACTCACTGGAGCATCGAATGTGTATTAATCCATGACTGAAAATAGTCCCAAACACACACAGTTTACTCCCGTTTGACTCACGTTTGCTAAAAACCACAGCGACTGTAGCTGCCGAAGAATATTACTGAGTTTACAACAGTGATGTCATTGTTGCCTGATTTTAAAGTAATAACCACAGACTGTAAATAAAGATGGACGTAGCCACCGTGACGTCACCTATAGTTTTGTGAAGAAAGCTCAGAGTGGGCTGCCCCGCCGTCGCCATATTGGCAGTGTCTGACTCCGCCCCTAACTACCAGCTAATCCAAACACTTGGGAAAAAGAGGTGGGGCCGAGACGGTTTGTGGCAAGCATACGCTCACCCACCTGTCACTCAAAGAGGCCACGCCCTCAGTCTTCCATAAGTTTAAGCCTTAATAAAATGTAAACAGGTGAGTTATAGAAACAATTGTTAGAGTTATGGTTGCTATAGAGACCAGAACAGGCTGTAAACATGTTTATTTCTGCTGTAAAGTTGGACATTTTAACATGGGAGTCTATGGGGATTGACTCACTGTTGGAGCCAGACTCTAGTGGTCGTTAGAGGAACTGCAGTTTTTAGAGCTTCAGTGTTAGCTTCACTTTTCAGCCCTTGAAGTTGCCGCTTGGTAAGAACCAGTAGTATTGAGAGGTGGACTTAACACAATGTTGGGTTTTGTGTTTTTATGAGGTTTGTTGACAGTAATAAATAAATAAAACGACACTTGTTTTATCCCTTTTAAAACCATGTGGCTCAGCCGATCCTAGCTAGCTTAGCACATTTACCAGTTAGCTGGAGGATGTTTCAACCTCCTCCTCTCCTGCTCCTTTTTTTAAAACAGCATTTGTAAGCAAGAAAAATGTGTTTTTTTCCTCATGAGTTTTAACTGAACCACTGAGGTGATTTCTGCCTCTGAGAAATATTTGGCTTCATCTCTAATCTGTTTTTATCTTCTGTCTAAACTCTTCTCCTCTACAGCTCGATCATTTCCTCCTCCACCGGTTGTGTTTTTAAAAAAACAAAACAAATTAGCATCTTTTGATGAGGCTTTGTGACACACAGTGGTGAAATGCCAAACGCTAGCTGGTAAATATCCACATTTGAATTTGCAGACATGAACATGAACGCTGCTCCGCACAGTGAAAACACCGTTGGCAGGTCTTTCTCAGGAAGTGATCCGTCCTACATTTCTGTCAGCAGCAGCCACAGCGTGTTTTTTCATTTTGAATAAATGGATGTATTAATAGAAATACTGGCCAGTTCATGTAATCAACAATGGCCGCCGTGAAACAGGCTGAACAGACAAAAAGAAGAGCTCCTGCTTCTTCTTAATGTTTCTCTTCACAAATGTGACGTCTAAGAAAAACACATCTCGCAGTAAACAAACAAAACATAATTTCACTAATTACTTCGGTCAGATGTTTTCTGTTGGTTTACCGCCGCCATCTCTTGTGAAGCGAACGCACCTCTGTACTGTAATGATGCGTTTGCTTTCACTGTGTTATTGCTGTGTCATTCACATTGTGACCTCAGCTGAACCCACGTCTGACTTCCTTCCTCTCCTTCCTCTCCTCCTCCAGGCTGGGAGGCTGAAAGCTGCAGGGCTGCGACATGTGAAAAGAGCTCCACCCCTTGACCCTCACAACTCTCTCAACCTTAGGTACGTAACCTCCTCCTCACCTCCTCCTCATGTCATCTTCTCCTGCCGTCTTGGTAACAACCTCTTTCCTCCCTCTCTTGTCTCCTCCTTGTTTCATGTCGATGTTCAGATCTGAACTTGATTTTGTTTTTGCAGCAGAACTCACTTGAACTGACGCTGTGACCGCGACCTGACACCCTCCTGCCTCGGGCATGCCTCAGGTAAAGTAGGAACATCGGTGAAGCTGCAGCAGGCTCTCCCCCATCACTTCTGAGTGTGTCTCACTCTTTGTCTCTCTGTGTGTGTGTGTGTGTGTGTGTGTGTGTGTGTGTGTTTCCTCCCTCTCAGCCGGGTATGAATGGGATGGAGCCTGCGTTTGGCGAGGCCTACGGGGGACACAGGGGTCTGCTGAGCCCCTATCCTCTGGCCATGTCGCCACAAGGGGGCAGGACTGAGTACGACCAGGTGAGACGTCACATGACTTAAAATGACACTTTAAATGTCCTTGAAAATGTTAGTTTATTCGACAACATCAAAAAAACGCAGCCCTTGATCTTCTGGGGAAATTAGTCGGAGCCTTTTTTTATTCAAAGTTGAAACATGTCCTGTGGAAAGTTTTCATCATGACCTCACGATAATATGTGAAGGTGTCATGCTTTACTTTAAAACAAGCTGCTGTCGTTGGATTTCACCTGGAAAATTAAATTAATGTGTCAAATAAATCATGACGCACCTGAAGCATGTGACCTAAGAAGCTTCTGCTCCACCGAAGAGACCGGAAATAAAAAATAAAGAAACTGTAACGTTCACAACACAAATGCCACGTTATCATTTTTAAAGGAGGTTTGACCGGAGCTCTTTTAATTATTGCGTTTTCTTATATAATAATGCAACTCAACAGTATGTAGCTTCAAGATCAGTCTGATGAGATTATTCCTCTAGGGGAGGTTGAATGATTTTTATTGGAGGAAACAGGTTTTTACTATCGACACTAACGCTCTCTGTTCTATTCAAGTCTGTGTCTGAACCGTGACCCTGAAACCAAAGCAGCTAAAAGGAAATCAGCATTCATTAATTTTACACCTTCTACATAAACCTGCCCTGAGTGTGAAACAAAAAAAACTTGATAAATGAAACATTTGGTCTGTAAAGTTTATAAATTTTGTATTTCACTGAGAAAGAAACCTTGGAAATGTAGACGTGGGCTCAGGGTAGTTATTTACCCCGGACTGTCTACGCTGGTTAAACTGGTGCAGCAGACGAGCTCGAAGGTTATCGAGCATCTTATGACTAAAGCAGGAAACTTTCTCCATGTTTCTATAAAACCGCAGACGTGACCTCCGGGACAGGGCGGAGCCTCCTGGAGTAATGAGTGTGGTCCAGACCAAACTAGCATGCTAGCTTCTGATTAGCGTGCTCGCTAATGTGCTAGCTTGTCATGTAGTTACATAGAACACACGGCAGAAGATGTCATGTGTTGTTAACGAGCTACAGTTACCTGAACACCTGGAAATGGCTGCGGGCTGCAGCAGATACGCGTCTTTATTAGAATGTATGATTATAACGGAGGACCAAGGCCTCGAGGTCACCAGAGGTCAGATACAAACAGCGTCTGAAGACCTTAAAACCTCGGGGGTGTGTAGATTATCTGCTGAAACTTTCTGTGTGTCTGCCTCCGCTCCAGCAGCGTGGAGCTCAGGACACAGCTCGGTAATTAATCAGATCAGTTAACGAGCTCCCTGATTGCATTTACCTGGTGTCTCAGGTGTGAATCAGTCCACGAGGCCGAAAACAACAACGTTCATTTACTCATTTACCCTCCGTTCAGAGAGGAGTTATTCCTCTGGGGGGGGGGCACGTAACACTTACAGCCTCAGTTCGCTGCTGTATCTCACGGCTCCTGCTTCACCTTCCTGTGATTAACTGGCGTCTGCTCCGTCAGTTTGGACGTAGGACAGGGTTTATCTAAGTCGACAGATTTCAGCTCGTTAACTGCAACATTCACTCAAGAACAAACGGCATGAAACATGAGCAGCACGTTAATTAACCCTCTGAGGTCTTTTCCATTTCTACAGTATTTCTTAAATTCATTGATGCCGAGTGTTTATATCACAACTCTCAGAACTATCTCAGCTCCTTTTTTTGACCGTCTGTGCTAAAAGATCATTTGCCCCAAATGCTGAAAATCTGAAGCAAACAAACCTTCACTGATGTGGATGAATTGAAATGGAAAGTCTTAGGTTAATAAAAAATAAGGTTCAATATATGAGTGAAATAACAGATAAAAGCCTGAAATGAGATTTTGTAATATGACTGAGTGGAAACGTTGTCTGTCGATCTGATTTAACCAAATTTTAGAGGCCTGCTTTGAGTCACGTACAATCTCACAAGATTATGAAACAGGAAGTGGAGAGTCGACAGATTCTAACCACATTTAAACCACATTTCTACGCTGAGTTCTCGCAAAGATATTAATAGGGACGTCCGTCGACCTCAGACGGTCGACCAGCTGCTGAAACGTCGCGTTGCAGGTGAGTCTGTCTGAAGCAGCGGCGCTTCAGTCGCGCTGCCGGCGCTCACCGGCGTTCAGGGGCGAGCTGTCTGAGTCTGCAGCTGTCTGTACATAATTAAATTAAAGATTAATAGCTGCCTGGAACGATGAGTTTATTTTCAAAGCAGCAGGCAAATATTTTATTACTGAGCTCCTCCTGTTCTATTAAGAGTCACGCTGACATGTGATGCAGCACAGGAGCACGATACATGGGAAACTGCCATATTTAAGTTTATCTCTGTCCCCCTCAGAGCGTGCTCCTCATGCTTGGCTCCCCGGCATCACCAAGGAAACGGCCCTTTGAGTTGCTAAGCGACCTGGTGGACGACGGCGGCTTCGGCGAGGACCTGCACCCGGAGCGCTGGGACGTGTCCGCGCTGGACGAGATGGCTCGCTACACCAAGCTGGGCCTCGGGGTGGGAGGGGAGCTGCTGGCCTGCTCCGAGGAGGCCGTCCTGATGGGCCGCTGGGGGAGGAGCCGGGAGGAGGAGCAGGAAGAGGAGGAGGAGGAGGAGAGGAGGAGGAGCAGCAGCAGCAGACACGCAGCGCCTCCCGTCACCCAGGAAGTCCATGCCACCGCTGCGGGGAGGGAGGAGGGGCGCACGTCTGTTGCCACGACAACGGGGAGGGAGTTGTGTGTTGCAGGAAGAGCGGCAGGAGGAGGACAAGATGGGGGGATGTCGAGGGAGCGCACGGTGGAGGTGTATCAGGTGGCACAGGAGGAAGAGGAAGTGGTGGCGGCGGCGGCGGCGGCGGCGGCAGCAGCGGCAGGTTTGGCTCTGGAGCACTGCAGCGAGGAGCACAACTACTCCCTGAGCCAGGGGGGGGAGCTGGGGACGGGGCCTCAGACGGAGGAGGTGCGAGCGGGGGAGACGCAGCAGGAGGTGCGGGGCAGGGAGGAGATCCAGGCCAAGACTGACCTCTACCTGGAGGAGGAGGAGGAGCAGGAGGAAGAAGAGGAGGACGAGGACGAGGAGGAAGAGGAAGAGGAGGAGGAAGAGGAGGAGGAGGAGGAGGAGGAAGAAGGAGAGGAGGGGACGGAGGAGACGGCGGTGGAGGCTGAACTCTCCAGCTCCTCAGAAACTGAATGTGGTGAGTCGTGCTCTCAGTTTGTCTGTATCCGTGTGGCTCGTCGTCTGCCCACGCGGAAACCATTTTCTGGTCGACCCGGTCGGCCCGGTCGGCCCGGTGGGACCGGTCGGCCCGGTCGAACCGGTCGGCCCAGCGCCGGCACATTAAATACCAAAAGTTGCGGGTGTAATTCCCGGACGACATACCGCTTCAGTGGCTTTGAGGGTTGGAGTCTCTTCATGTTTTCAAATACCATCTGTAACAGCAACATCTGTGTGTGTGTGTGTGTGTGTGTGTGTGTGTGTGTGTGTGTGTGTGTGTGTGTGTGTGTGTGTGTGTGTGTGTAGTTGAACATTTTAAACAGGCTGTTGAAAGTTGGTTCAGATTGTTAAACAACCGTTACAGTCGAACTTTTCATGCAGCTTCAAACAAACAGAAACACAGAAACATGGCCGCCGCCGCCGCCGCCGCCACGTTCAGCTGGTGGCTCATCATCAAAACCTCTTTCTCTTCTTCGCCTCATTATTTCTTCATCCCTCACAAGCCGGAGCTGAAACTCCTCCGTCAGTTACATCGGCGACTATTTAGATAATTGACGAATCAGTCGTTATTTTTTCCAAGAGAAACATTTTCCTCTTTCAGCTTCTTAAATGCGAGGATCCGCTGCTCGCTCCCGTTTCACGAGAATAATCTCATTATTGTTTTATTCTCTCTTGGTCGGACAAAGCCGTCACTATGAACTCTGGGAAACGGTGTTTTTTTTTTTTTTTTTTTTTTTTTTTTTTTTACAAACAAATGATTGAATCAGTGAATGAAGGAAATAACTGGCAGATAAATAAATACTGAACAGCCCTGAATCACAGGACTCGTCACTGTTGTCCTGGTGATGAAGCTTTGACCTTTGACCTCTCTACTTACTCCACAAGGAAGAAGGTGACTGCTATAAAAAAAAAAAAAAAAAGCTATTCATTCATGTTTTTATTATGACAAACATTGACTCACTTCCTTCATTCCTTCCTTCATTCCCAAAGGGCCGTTTGTTTTCACGACCGGCGCGTGTTTGTGCTTCACATGAAAAACACACGGGATCATTCAGCACACACACGGTCTGCGCACAGACGCCGGCTCGTATGGAGATGTACGCTCGCGCCTCTTACGTGCAGCACGTGAACGCCGCCGAGCTTCACAGCAGATTAGATTTCTGTCTCAGAAAGTCGAGGTTGAAGCTGGTCAGTGGATCAGAGAGGGAAGAGGCAAATGCTTCAAAAAAGATAAATAATAGATGATGATATAAGACGCTCAATTAGATATTTAGATACAACAAAGATAGCAGCAGATAACTGCACATATGGCGTGTGTTGATTATTTTCTCTCCACTTTTGCAGCTGCATCACATCTGCAGCTTGATAATGTGAATGTAAGGAGAACAAATGCTTGTTTCATAGAGTGTACTGAGTATATTATATATAATATATAAATATATATATATTATATATAATATCTTCACAATTCAGTTTTTCTCCGCCAGATTTTATTCTTGCGAGTTTTAGATTTTCCTCTGAAATCAGATCTGCATAGAAAATAGATGTAGAGATAGAAAATCATTTGATAGTTTCCTGATTTATTTTGTGAGAACCAGGAACTTCGTCCGTCTCCGTCACCCGACGTTAAGAACCTGGATCTGCAGCAGAAACCAGCCACTCGACAAACAAAGAACAGTTGTATAACGACAGTTGGAATCTTTTTACTGGTTGTAAAGACGATGGTAACGTCTTCTTCCCCGTGCAGCCTCCTTGTGATATATGATACGATGTGCTGGTGAGATCCGTCTATATAAGGAGTCGCAGCCCTGCAGCCTCGCTCTGAGGAAGACGCCAAACTGGTCGGGTTTTTTTTTTCCCCCTTTTGGGGATTTTTTTTTTTTTGTTCCATATTTTACTTTGATAAACTCAAACACAAAAAAAAGGCATTTTAAGTCTACCCTTGTCTCCGTGCTCGTGCGCCTGCAGTCAGCCCAGCAGCTTCCTTCTGTCTTTATTAACATTTCAGCTCGAGGAGCACGTTGCATTTACCTGTAGATTTACTCGTCACCGTGAGCGCCCGCTGTTTCTTTTGAAAGAGCAGCTTTGATTTCACCAGTTTCACAACTTTATCATCATTTGTGTCTGTTACACATCCCGCTCGTTAATAATGTAAAAGAGAAGAACAAACACTCAGCTGTTTCTCTCTGATGCAAACGTTCAGCACATTAAATTAAAACTGGAGCTGGGTCGACTGCGATGAGCTCAGAGTCAGAGGTGGCTTCACGTCCAGACTCCAGGACATGAGATGTAAACATGTATATTAGATCACACACACACACACACACACACACGCAGATAAACCGACTTCACGTCAGATTAGCATCTTTTCCCAGGCTCCCTCAGTGTTGGATAAACACGTCTCAGGCGTCTTGTTGCGAGGCACCGGGGAGGTCGCTGGCTCGCCCTCAAACACACCGTCTGGGTCGTATTTCGACAGTCGCGAGACGCCATTGTCGCTCTCCATTGTTGTTCTGTTGTGTGTGTGTGTGTGTGTGTGTGTGTGTGTGTGTGTGTCTGTGTGTGTGTGTGTGTGTGTGTGTGTGTGTCTGTGTGTGTGTGTGTGTGTGTGTGTGTGTGTCTGTGTGTGTGTGTGTGTGTGTGTGTGTGTGTCTGTGTGTGTGTGTGTGTGTGTGTGTGTGTGTCTGTGTGTGTGTGTGTGTGTGTGTGTGTGTGTTTGCCCAGTCAAGCCCTAGCTATTCTTACCAGTAGCCCATGGTGATGGCAAAGGGACTGTGTGATGGATGTGCTTGTAGGGAAAGAGTGAGTTTAGGAGATTGGACAGAGGATTGAAGAGCAGATTGTGTGTGTGTGTGTGTGTGTGTGCGTGCATGTGTATGTGTAAAACAGTGAACCATGGAGCAAAAGACTGGGTTGAGAGGAGTGTGCAGACAATGGCGCTATCTGCAGACTGGACCAGGCGACATGATGTTACATAAGCCTATGTGTGTGTGTGTGTGTGTGTGTGTGTGTGTGTGTGTGTGTGTGTGTGTGTGTGTGTGTGTGTGGCCTGCACAGCCCTGGCTAATGGCTAGGATAGGACATCATGGTTATTAACTTTGAGCCTGATTTAATCCTGCCAGCTGATGTTTATTCTCACTGTGTGTTTTTGAAATGTTTTGAACGCAGCTCTGGCGGCTGCGAGGAGGCGTCTCCTCTTCCTCCTCTCCCTCCTCTCCCTCCTCTCCCTCCTCTCTCTCCTCTCTCTCCTCTCTCTCCTCCTGCTGGTGGAGCTTTGCATGTTGTATTATTTATGATGCCATTATTCACGGCTGTGCGCGCCTGAGGCTAATCTCCTGTGACGTGTGTGCGGTCGTGTAGGTGTCTGCCTCTGAAACGCCGCGCAGCCGTACACTTGATAGCCGGCGGTGGCTTTTGTCATCGGGACGTACAGCATGTGTTTATGGATTAGGGCTCACAGTGTGATTTCATACCAGGCAAACGTGAACATTAATACCCGTCAGTTATGATTAAGGTTCATCTGTCACATTAAGACGCAGGATATTTCCCTCCTATTAAATATCTTAAACATGGCTGTCAGCGGTGTCCACCTCCGTCCTGATGGAGGTTCAGGTTTTCTACATAATAAAGTGATAAAATCGTATTGATTCTGTATTTAGATCTTGATCCTGGACCAGGTTACATCCACGGCTTATTCCTCTTATCAGAAAAAAATGCAGATTGATTGTTTGATTGTTTTATATTCAGATAAAAATGCCCCAAAAATATTAATATTAAAACCGTATTTGTTGAACTAGTTGTTGAAGGAATCAAAACAAATTCAGCAGATGAAGCTAAAACCAACAATCGTCTCTGCTGTGATGAATCTGAGCGAGATTAAAAAGAAAACACTTTACCCACAATGCATTTACCTCCTACGGGATTCTGAAACGAGTTATCACGGGGGCCAATCAGAGTCCAAACAAACTTTTTGATGGCTCAGCAGTTCTGCCGCTGAACATATGAAGCTTCGTGTAATTCGATGCAGTGAAATACAAACAGAAGATAAGATCCGAGGAACTGAGCAAAGGAGAAAATAACATTTGTAAACAGCTGCTGACGGTGAAGAAGCCGTCGCAGGGCGGGAAAGTCTCAGGGTTTGAGTCGTAGATTTCTTTATTTATTTGTCATTGTAACCAAACTAGCATCTCGGCTGGAGGAGATGTTGCACTCTCTGGTTTAGAGTCGAGTATTAATGGTTTGATTATTAGAGAGAGAGAGGATGATTTTATTTATTAATCATGTTTAGGGTTCCCTGACTTCCTGTCTGACACTTTGCATTTGTTTTCAGGATATTATGAAGGTAATAGCAGTTTTTTTTCTGGTTAATAACAAGAATAGTGAAGAACAGAATGAATCTTTGTGTTCAGGAGCTAAAATACCGAAGTGATCTCTCGTTTTCATTCTTCCGACTGTTTGTTTTCTGGTTTGTCAGTAAAAGTTTCAGCTACAGACTCGTGTTTTATTAAAGGTTCATGTTTTTAATGGTGTCATCTAATGACAAAAAAAAAACCTGACAGATATTTCACCTCTAAAACATTAATGTGTGTGTGTGTGTGCGTGTGTGTGCAGAGGTGGAGGCGGAGCCGGCCAAGCAGCCAGGTGAGCGCCCGTCGAAGCGTCGCTGTTTCTGGGAGTACAGACGCGCCCGAGAGTCGGCCACGAAGAAGAAGCTGGGCGGAGACGTCCACTGGTCCCTGTCCTGGAGCTCCAGCACTCTGCCCAGCACGCTGTACCGCAGAGAGGGTGAGCACACACACACACACACACACACACACACACACACACACACACACACACACACACACACACACACACAGGATGACACCACTCATGGTTGGTGACGAATTAATGAACAAAACTACTTATTTATACTATATATATTATATTATTTAAACCTACAGATTTACTAAGTCAGAGTCATTTAATCAGGCAGATAATTAACAGATCGATTGGCTCTTGCAGCTGAAATCACAGAGATGTGAAGCGTAAAGATCCGCCGGCTGGCAGCCTGTTTGCCGTCGTTAAAAAACGGCGTTCACGCTGCAGCTCAAAGCGTCCCATTTCTCCTCTCTCGTGTGACACAGATCGGATCGGGACCCTCAGGCGTCTGCCCTACATAACACTTTTATGTCAAAATCTGAATCTTTTCAGCGTTTCCCTGATGATAGGTGACTGTTGTGTGCAGCAGTTTGGCAGCAGCGTTTCCCTGCATGATACAGTCCATTAATGTAATCCAATACACTCAAATCAAACTGCCGCCTCAAAAATGAGCATTTAACAACATTTTAACGTAGGTATTTTTTCTGTAAGTGGTTCCTCTAACGTTCCAGTGGGATACTGGAGCCTGGGAGGCCATGTTTGAAGCTGCACTATTACAGTAGATGGTGATAAATCTGTGTCTTGTACGTACGTTTATACACATTTCTTGGTGACAGAGCATCGTTTAGATTTGGGATTTCAAGACGGCGTTCGCTGGATCTGAGCAACGTCTGTCTGCACATTATGAATCCGGATCTAGAGACGTTGGATTGAAAGACTTTGAGGTGTTGAGTTCTTTTCTTTTCTCCCGTGTCCAGGCAAAAAAGGGCGACGCAAAGCCCGCAAGACGGACGCCAGCGACCTGACGCCAAACCCGCAGAAGCTCCACAACATCGGGGAGCAGCTGCAGAAGCTCAACGCCGCCATCGACGGCATGGGTCCGGTCAACGACCTTCCCGCCGTGGCCCGGGCCCGCTCCCGTAAGGAGAAGAACAAGCTGGCCTCCAGGTATCCGACTCCACCCGCCGCCGTCCTCCGTCCTCCGCACAGAGTCAGAGCCCCGGAGACCGTCTATTGATTTCTGAGGCATGAGTGGGCATTCTGACAGTTTGTAAATCATTCGTAGTAAAAATAATATGTAAGAAGAGAGTTCTGCAGGGCTCTGTGGTTAAGTGTCTGCAGTCTCGTTAAAGATCATTTTTAAAATACGTAGCGCATTTAAACGGTTGACCTCCTAATACTATTCCTGGAGGACACGGAGAGGGGAAGGAGACGCTGAGAAAAACATCTCATCTAAACTCTAAGGAAACTGGTTATTTGCAGCGTCTTGCATTTTATACTATGACATGTCAGGAAGCATTAGATTTCAGAGGGGAGGAACACAGTGTTCCAGAGACGACCTTTACAAAGCAAACCTCAGAGGAAACTGCCGTAATAAGACTTTGCACATGGAAGATTTACATTTAAGGGCATTTAAACGACGCCCCTGAGGATTATACGCGGCTCACAACAACGCAAATTATTTGAAAATGTAGGTCATGAGTGTGTTTTTGAGATGACTGGCTCCTTTTTTTTTTAAGGGATTCAACTTTGGACGTTTCTGTGAGGGAATAAATGAAGGAAGGATGGAGGGAGAGAGGAGATGAGATGGAGGAAAGCAGGATGAAAGGCTGAATAGGAGGAAATCAGGGCAGGACTGAGGAGACAGACGAGGAGTTAGATGAGGAGGGTCGTATAAAGTTCATCTGAGGGGGGAGGGAGGGGGAAGATTCGGAGGGAAGGACATTATCACAGGCGGTTTAAACAGGAAGGGGACTCGGGGAATATTATTATTCCAAACATATATTAAAGGAGACGCAAACACATCGGCATCGGATGGAAAGTGAGTGTGGAGATCAACAAAATGCAGGAAAGAAATAAAAAGACAGTGAAGGGAGAGTTCGTCACCGTGTGCTGCGTTCATGTTCCAGTTTAATATGCAGGAATTTCCTCTCTTTCTTTTTATACTGTCGTTCCTGCGGCCGAGGCGGAGACCAGGTCACGGTTATCAGTGCGACTATCCCAGCCGCCTCGGTACCTTCCCCCTCATTCATTTCCTATCCGTGTTAAAAACAACCCGCCCGTGGCGTTCAGGCGGCGTTCAGGAAAAACACAAAAGCCCAGTTCCTCGCACCGGTGCCTCCAACAAACTCATCAGTTTTATCTCTGTGTGTTCAGTTCAAAGACTGAGTCGGGAAACGTTTATCTTTTGTTTAACGTGAAAGTTCATGATGTTGGAAACCGCAGTTCGACTTTTTGTTTTTCCCCAAGCTTTCTGTGGATTAGCCTAGCTTAGCTAAAATACTGGAAGCAAGTAGGAACTGTTAGCCTAGCTACATTAAAGGTTGCTTCTAACAGCTCTTACATATCTTGTGTTTTTAACATGCAAATAAATACAAAACAATATATTGTGTTCAAATGAGCAGTTAGCTTAAGTTAGCCTGCTGGAGCTATTTACTAACCAGCAGCTAGCTAGCCCCAGTGCCCGCTCGCAGCTTGTGGTGAAGTTGTAAGCTGTGGGCGACCAGCTGTTTTCCCCTCGCCTACAATCTTTGTGCTAAGCTAGGCTAACACATCCAGAACCAGTCTCTTTACTGAACACACAAATGAAACTGTAATTTATTTATTTATTTTTATCCAAGCAACTTGTGTAAATTGAAGCTTTAGTGATGTCCCTTACGATAAAAGCATCAAATGTAAGTTTAACAGCAGCAGATTTTCTGTCAGCAGACCATTAACTCTTTTGAAACAGCTGTAATCTGTGGATTTGCTCTCGGAGGTGAAGTAAATCTACTTTTACATGTTTGGTGAACTTTGACTCGGAGCTATTGTGTCATCTGTCGCACTGTCTGTAAGTTTATACAAATCCTGCAAAGGTTTGGATGGTGGGTCCAGGTGGGCGGGGCTTGGTGACTGCTTTGTTGTGACATCACAAAGTTCCAGTTCCTGACGGCTGGTTTTAAGGCTCAGTTTCTGAATACAGGCTGTGTGCATTTCTCTGTGGACTGAGGCTTTGATACTTTCACAGTATTAATATAGAAGCTAGAGCTGATCTATAATCACACTACACATGGACACAGACCTTCAGACTACATGGGACCTTTAAATTTGATTATGCAAATAGTCTCTACGTCACCAAAACAACAATGGTGCTGAGCCACTTGTTGATGTCCACACCTGTGAGGACAACAAGTAAACACGTTTCCTTTTGAAGTTAGTGAATTAAAATCATCAGTCAGAGAAACAGATGTTTTATAATTTACCTCTGCAACATCGTCCACGACACAGTGACGCTGCTGTTCACCTCCTCAGTCAATCGTTCCCCAAAGACACTTTCCTCTGTTGCTAGGGTTGATCATAAAAACAGATAAGGCCTCTGCATCTTAACGATGACCCACTGTGGCTATTTTCCAAACCCACCCAAGCACCAGAGGCTTTTAATCTGTTGAATGTGTTTTTCCTACCTTCAAGCAGCCACTGTTTTTTTTTTGGTTTTTTTTGTTTCATTTTTTCTCGCTGGGCAATTAAATCAATTTGCAGCTGTGGGCGATCAATCTTTCTTTAGGGGATATTTTGTGTTTTGCATAATTCTGCATGTTGCATTCAGGGGCCTGGGCGTAGGTAGGGAAACACTTTTACCAATTAAAAAAAACATTTGGTTCTTGTTGGAGCATCATCTGTACTTTGTCAGTCCCACCCCCGCGACGATTAGCAGCAGCTAAATTGTTGTGTGGTCGTCTACATCCTCCCCGAACCAGCTGGGACTGTGGTACAGAGAGAAAACTCTGGCTGAGGCTTCGTCTAACATTTCAACAAGAAGCCGTTTTCCGTCCAACACATTGTGCTTCCTTCAGTTTCGTTTAGCTGACTCACGTCTGCAGGAAAAGTGCAAGTCTCTGCGCGCTGCAGTGAATAGTCCCCGTGAGAAGCATTAATATTTAACACACATTGATTGATTCATTCTCTGCTGCTTTTTTTTTTTTTTTTTTTTTTCTCTCCAACCTTCTGAAACCAAACCGGCCGTATCCCCTTCAGAGTCACGGTGTTAAATGGTAGTTGGAGGAGAGGAGTTTGGGTTTTATTTTTCACTCACAGTTTGGAAATACATCCTCTTCTCATCGCTCTCCAGCTGCTCGCGGCGTGAGCCAGCCGGCTCGGTAACAGGATCATGTGGAGAACGGGAATATTAGAACGGAGTTTCCTGTTCCAGAGTATGACGCCGCTCTCTCTCTCTCTCTCTCTCTCTCTCTCTCTCTCTCTCTCTCTCTTTTCCAGGGCCTGCCGGCTGAAGAAGAAGGCCCAGCACGAAGCCAACAAGATCAAGCTGTGGGGGCTCAACCAGGAGTACGGTCAGTATCTCACGCACACATGAACCCAACTCTTATTTTGAAAGGATGGTGTTCTCCTTTTATTGGATTGAGCAACTTGTAAAACTTCCTTCTAAATTTCCAAAAAGCTGGAAAAGCAGTGATTTATGATATGAAAATAAGGTCGGCCATGTTTTAGTTTGGCTATTTGAAATCCTCACTATGTATGTTGCACGTTTTCTCTTGTTTCCTGTGGCGTATTACCTCACCTGAGCTAAAGCCACGCTCCCGCTAACATCAGACGAAATGAAATATCCCACTTTTATCAAATGTTACATGAATTGTAAGCTGTTACCTCTGATCATGTTGCTCGGTTTGATCAATTTCACAAAACCCATCCAAGTACCAGAGGCTTTTAATTTGGTGAATGTGTTTTACCTGCCGTCAAGCAGCCACTGGTTTCTTCTCATTCAGTAATTAAATCAATTTGCAGCCGTAGGCGATCAATCTTTCTTTAACCAACATTTCTTTATATTGCAAAAACCTACATCAATGTTGCATTCAGGGACCTGAACAGCTTTACTATGTGTTTTACATGTTTTCTTGTGTTTCCTGAGCCGTATTACCTCACCTGAGCGAAAGCCACGCCCCCGCCAACATCAGACGAAATGAAATATCAGGCGTTCATGAAACGGAGCCGTATCATCTCTTGCATTGCTTGGTTTTTGGGGGTTTTTTGTTATTGTTGTTTCTGTATGTGCTGTTGTTAGAACTGCAACTCCCAGTCTCCTGCAGCGGCGTCTCGTTTTCCATGTAAGGACATTCGAGACTTTAAACCTGCTGTTTTTTCCAAAGCGGAGACGCCAGCGTTGTTTACAAAAGCGGCGTAACTGTGAGGGGAAGGAGGAAACGTCTGAGGAGCAGCCGAAACAGGAAACCTTCAGAGCTCGTCACCCGGTGTCATGGGGATCCCCGATTATTAAATAGTGAAACTGTGACATGACGTCTACACAGTGGAAGTCGTGGCGAGAGCAGCAGCGGAGCGGCGTCAGTCCCTCCATCTGTTTCTAAACAGGGTGCGTTCAAGGGACGGTGTTGATTGTAGGACAGGATGCAGTCACTGTAGTTACATGTGTGGAACAGAAGTGGTCACGGTCAGTGGTCACGGTTTCCTCAAGGAAAAACGGTTTGTTGAACGAATGTGTGATTGTCAAAGTGACTCTGGTTTTCGGAGCAGCAGCACTTACACTTAGCTTCTTTTTCTTTTCTTTTTTTATACTAACTTTATTTATAACACATGCAGGATAAATCCTCCTTTCCTAACCACAAGAAACGGAGCAAACGGGATTGAAATGTTGAAATAAGATGACATGAAAGGAGTATACAAACAGAGAGAGCTGAGCCGGTGAAATAATAATTAAATAGAAAATAGAAAGAAGGAACTGAGCAGGAAATCAGAAGAAATTATATTCAGACATAAGTGTGAAGAGTTTCCAGGCATCGGTGCTTTTGATGTTTCTATACGATCGTTAACTAGAGAAAATTCATTTTTAGTGCATTTGGGATTCAGTGAAACGAGGTTTATGTATAGGTTAC